GTGTATACTTGTTCCTTGGGTGATGTGTGTGTATGTGTGTGTGTGTGGGGGGGGGGTCTATTAGTCATACAATATCTGTGTAGTTACATTACAGTAAAGCAGCTGCATTTTTCCTCCAAAGATTTTATAAAAATCAGGTTACTGCAATTACTCCCATGTGTCTGTTTTTTTAATTAACATATTTGTTATATTTCTGAAAAATCTGTGATTAAACAAACGTGTTAGACTCTAAGGGATGTTTGACAATTTAAGCTCCATTTCTCAAAGATGTTTTAAAGTGTCGTATGAGACGATTAAATTAATCATTTGCGTTTCTGTACAAGATTATTGTTCCCCAATATGCTCACTGGTTTAGGTGATGTGAGACGATTAATGCTCTTAAATATTGTTTGAATAAGACAAAATGGAAATAAACTGAATTCTGTATTATTGCAGATGTTGTAATAACACAGAACACAAAAAAATGATAGTTTCAGTTGGCMTGAAGTGAGAGATTCAGCCCACCATAAATGTGGATTCATCGAAAATGTTGGCCAATCCAGTGTGAAAATGCACTTGTCACAAGTGTGATAAGTGCATCACTTTTATGTGACAACATGATGAGAAAAAGTCTTCCCAGCTGCTGGGAGTATTAGGCAGAATATAAAGCACTTATCATGTCATGTTGCCTCAGAACCGAGACAAGTTTACAAGCTGCAAATGAACTGTTATTCATAAAAATAGTTAAGTATCATTTAACTCCTGTTAAAGTCACATTTATTCGACTTACACAATCTATCTCTGAGGAGGAATCTGTGTGTGAATAATTGATTTTGTTTCTGTGTCTACAGGTGGCAGAGATGAGCCCTCTAACTACATATGTACCACCTGTAAGCAGCCGTTCCCCAGCGCCTGGTTCCTGCTGCAGCATGCTCAGAACACCCACGGCATCCGCATTTATCTGGAGGCCAACCCCTCCAGCGCAGCGCTCACCCCTCGGCTCACAATGCCTCCTCCGATGGGCAACGATTCCATCCCTCAGTCGCCGCTGACCAGCTTTCTGGGAGACAACAATCCCTTTCACCTGCTGAGGATGACAGGACCTTTGCTCCGAGAGCCGCCCCCGGGTTTCGTGGAAAACCGTCTCCCCAACACCCCGCCGTTTGTCAGTCCACCTCCCCGCCATCACTTGGACCCCCATCGACTGGAACGCCTTAGTGCAGAGGAAATGGGCCTCATCTCCCAGCACCCGAGTGCCTTCGAGAGGGTGATGCGGCTAACACCAATGGCCATCGAGTCCCAGTCCATGGACTTCTCCAGGCGGTTACGGGAGCTGGCAGGGAACACTAACAGCACCACGCCGCCTCTCTCACCGGGCAGGCCCAACCCTATGCACCGACTGCTGAACCCCAATCCTTTTCAACAAGGGCCCAAGTCGCCCTTTCTGAGTACTCCTCCCCTGCCGCCAATGCCCCCAAACAGCACCACCCCTCCCCAGACACAGAACAAAGTCAAGTCCTGCGAGTTCTGCGGTAAGACATTCAAGTTCCAGAGCAACTTGGTGGTGCACCGGCGCAGCCATACCGGGGAGAAACCGTACAAGTGCCAGCTGTGTGACCACGCCTGCTCTCAGGCCAGCAAGCTGAAGCGCCACATGAAGACCCACATGCACAAGGCCGGCTCCATGACGGGCCGCTCAGACGATGGGCTGTCCGCCACGAGCTCCCCGGAACCAGGAACCAGCGACGTGACCGGCGAGGGCATTAAAAACCGCGAGAGAGATTTCCAGGGGGAAGGCAATGAGGAAGAAGAGGAGGAAGAGGAAGAGGAGGAGCTTGAGAACGAGAGTCGACCGGAATCGAACTTCAGCATGGAATCCGAGTTTTACCGGAACCGAGAGAACGGTTCTAAACCTCCTTCAGAAGAGAAGTCGGCTCTTGCCCTTGAGAAGATGGTGGACGGTGGGGCGCTCAACTCCATCCAGCAGTACAATAATTTGATAGTTGACAATCGTAAAAGGATGCCCTTCTCCAAGAGGAGCTTAGACGGCCAGCGGGACACTGGAGATGAGGATTCAGTAGCTGTGGAGATGAACCACCACCAGCAGGAGGAGCGGACAACCATTAACGGCCGGAACTGTGGCTCCGGCGACTCTTTCTCAGGCCTCTTCCCCCGAAAGCCCACCCCCATCACCAGCCCGGCTCTGTCCAACTCCTCAAACAAGAGGATCAAGATTGAGAAGGACTTGGACATTCCCCAGACTCCCCATATCCCTTCTGAGAACGTGTACTCCCAGTGGCTGGTGGGCTATGCGGCCTCCCGCCACTTCATCAAAGACCCTTTCTTAGGCTTCACTGACTCCAGACAATCGCCCTTCGCMACCTCCTCGGAGCACTCCTCGGAAAACGGCAGCCTGCGGTTCTCGACGCCTCCGGGGGACCTGCTGGACGGCGGCCTGTCCGGCCGCAGCGGCACCGCCAGCGGGGGCAGCACGCCTCACCTCGGCGGGGGTCCCGGTCCGGGTCGGCCAAGCTCCAAGGATGGGAGACGGTGCGACACCTGCGAGTACTGCGGCAAGGTGTTCAAAAACTGCAGCAACCTGACGGTGCACCGRCGCAGCCACACGGGAGAACGGCCCTACAAGTGCGAGCTGTGCAACTATGCATGCGCTCAGAGCTCCAAGCTCACCCGCCACATGAAGACACACGGGCAGCTCGGTAAGGAGGTCTACCGCTGTGACATTTGCCAAATGCCCTTTAGTGTGTACAGCACTCTGGAAAAACACATGAAAAAGTGGCACGGGGAACATTTGATGACCAGTGAGGTCAAAATTGAACAAGCAGAGAGAGCCTAAGGTGAATTTACAAGCTCTGCACCGTTCTTAGACTAAAAATAAAATAAATAAACATAAGGGGATATCTGGATACTTTTATATTCATTTTGGGTTAGTTTGTGTTTTTGAATAATAATAATAAAAAGAACAAAAAAACAAAACAAAACAAAACTGCCAACTGAGTACAAAAAGTGAAAACAGAGATTTTACCAACTGAAGCTGTCAAAACTGCCTCATTTGGCATTCATTTTTTAAACAATCAGTCTGTTGAGTTTTGTGGAGCCTTTAACTGTGCAATAATTTCTGTATTTATTGTATTTTGTATTTTGGCATGTGCAGGTACATTTTTATTAGGTACTTTCTTTWTTGTTTACATCGGTTCTGTTTTTGTTTTTTAATCACATGATATCCTGAGAGTACTTTAGATTACAAATATCCATTTCAGGTCTTTCAATTTGGCCAGTGCTTGTGGGAAATTTGTACATTAGGATAACTGTTTAGTGTCTTGAAAAGATGCTGAGTTCAGTCTTCAATTTGAAAGTTAATTGAGAATGCTAGAATTAATTTATTTTCTGTGAAGATGATTTGCGAACAACAATCCTTTGGCGTAGTAGCATGAAATGGCTCTAAAGCGTGTCAATATAATTGGAGATGTAGCACCGAGCGTCACGACTAACAGTAAATGTTTAATGAAAGACGATCCCAAGATTCATAAACCCTGTCTCCTCCTGAGAATGTCCAAACCAGACAGATACATGTTCTACCCGACCGCTGCTGAATGGCACCGAGTGCCAAACTTCAACAACGCTACAACGACCATTTCTTGTTTCTTCTGGTTTTCACACCACATCCTCTTCCATAAATGCACTCTGCATTATGTTTCACATGAAGCCACCTGATCGTTGACTTTTATTATTTATTAGCATGAAGCTAGGACGAGTCTGCACACAGAGATTTTGGACAGAAACACAGTGAGAGCACAGAAACATCTCAGGGTAAATAAAAAAATAACTACTACACTTTTTAAAATTTCTTTTCACCTACTCATTTCTTTTTAAAGAAATTCATTTTCATTATACTGAGATGAGAAATAGCTTCTGAATTATCTACCACCGCCAAGGTTTTATCCTAATTACAGGTTTATATTGTTCTCTTTGAATTTCAACCTTCATGTATGTAAAAAGGATTAAATAAATAGAAATACATGGGGTGGATTTCTTAAACTATTTACAAAACATATAATCAACATTGCTATGCATTTTGAGCTAAATAATGTAATAGTTATTAAAAAAATAATGAATTCTGGCTTGTCTTTTAATGTGAAGTGCAGCAGTTTCATTTTTAGCAGGCAGTTGAGAGATAATCTAAAGTTTTGTCTCTTTTAGCTCAAATAAAATGAATTTAGGACATAAAACATGACGACACAATCTTTTGTTTTTATTAGTAAATTAATATTTTCCTCCTGTCTGTAACAGTGACACGTTTAACGACTTTATGTTGACATCTCCACAAAACAGAGAATAAATATTTAAAAATATATATTTTTTGTTGCTGCTTGACTGCGTGTTTTTCTACGTTAAAAAATATTTTTTCAACTTTCACACAAAAAAAAATCATCGTTTCAGCAAAAAGCTTTTTTTAAATTAATAATTCAAGTTTGTGCTGAAGGTTAGTTTCTGTAATGTTTAACCACCCACAAAGGGGGCAGTCCATCCTCTCAAATACTAATACAGTATATAAGCATAAAGGGGAGAAATTTGTCAGAGTATCATGYCGTAGAAATTTTTGATTTTTTTTTTTGTTAGCTCATTTTTTTCCTTTTTTTTTCCTGTTGATTTGTTTGTGTTAAAACCTTCCCACTTCATGAAGACAGATTTAATTTGAAAGCGGACAGTTCTGAACAAACCAGCACTTTATGGTCTCTGTCTGCAGACGTAAAAACAGAGCTGACACCAGGACAGAAAGGGGTGTGGAGCTTGGGATCTCCTGAGGCTGAAGTGCCAGGACTGTTAGGCTGAGCTTTCCCCAAAGCTGGCACTATAAACAATTATTGACTTAATTATTAAGGAGAATTTAAAAATTAATATTATGGACAGTTTCTGCATTGCCGTTCAAATTGACATGAGTGTGCCTTTAATTATGATCTTCCTCTTTGTCGCAGACAAAAACGTTTTACGAAGCATCAAATTGAAGATTAAAAAAGAAAAATGCAAAAACAAATATGTTCACTTTATTGTGTAATCTGACACCTGAACAGAATTAACGAGAAAACAAGTTTAGGGTTATTCAGCACAATATTAAAGTGTCTGTGTGTGTATATATGTATGCATATGTACATACAAAAGGCACAAACCTTTAAATATAAATATATAGAGATCTATATCAAACTCCACACTCAAAGACGTAGATCAGGCCAGGATCAAACATTTCAAAATGTCAAGAGGAATAAAATATAGCAGAAAAAAAAATCAGATACTAGAAATGTTTTAGTGCACTCTGTCTTAAATAAGTTTACAGTATTAATACAAGTACAAGGGTAAAAAGAATACTTGCGTTACTGTGCTTTTTTTGTGTCCAGGTTTGCTTCAACATTTATTTTGAAAGCCACAGTGGCACTGTGTACATCAGCTTTATTTAATTCATTTTTTTACTTTGCTGGTTTTTTTTTTTTGTGACAGGTTTTAGTATAAATATATAAATAAATATATAAATATATATGACATTTTTTTCTGGTTTACTGTAAAAGTATAACAGTATTTGTAATATTGAAGAATGCCAGGGCATTTTACAAAAATATGAAAAAAAAAAGATGGCTGTTCTTTTTTTAAAGCTTTTATTTTACAGTCCAATTTCAATTGTGGGTCTCTAAAACTGTTTTTTTGTCAATGTAAACTGTAAAAGTCTTAAGTTTTAGTAACTTTTCTCCTGGCTTGGGTGTAACGAATTGAAAAATAAAGGAAGCCTGAGCGGAAACACACGTGGTGGTGGTGGTGGGGGGGGGTGTTGCTGTGCAGGGTGGAGGGTTGGTGCTCCATCAGCAAGTTGAGCTTGCTGGAACGTTGCTTCTGCTTTGCAGGAAAAAAAAAAAAACTCACTGAGAATCCTGACTTGTATCTATTTTTCTTCTTCTGGAATGGATTAATCTTCATGGATGGTTTGAAATACATGTGTAGGCACTTGCTGTCGTTCCTAAAGAGCTTGTCTTTTTTTCTTTTCTTTTTTTTTCTTGTAGGCTGTGTGCATCCTTTTGTGAATGAAACTCTGAGGGAGGGTGACTTTACTCCGATGACCAATCCAACTCACAGGCTGCCACAATCTGTTTGTCCAAACAGAACCTGATCACTTTGTATCGTTCGAATGAATTATGTTGTACAGAATGGGAATTAAACAAAAGCCTTTTAGTGACGAAAACACGTTTTGTTTACCTCTCTGTTGCTTGTACATAGTTTTCTATGACTGTTTTCATTTGGTTTGTTGTTTTTGTTTGTGATTTCTAACTGACACTGGCAGTGACCTCCTTGTGTTTGGAGGGATGGGTGTGGAAAGCTGGGAGGAGGGAGGGGGGGGATTTTGTTTTGTGACCTCCATGTCAGCTTTCAGGCCTCAGCATGAGAACAGAGCACAAATACAAGCTGTTTCAAACGTTCATCCTTTGCTTGTCTGCCTCGTTTTGTTCTTTGAGCCGGTTTCACAGAATAAACAGTCATAGTAAAATAAATAAACCAATATCCATGGGAATAAAAACGCTCAGTCTTATCATAAAATGGGATTATTTCTCAAAATGCTTCAGTTTTCTCAAGATTCCAAGTTTTAAAAAAATAAGATTTGAATTGTACTTTTGGATTTATGATAATTTATTAAAACTTTATTTTTCAACTTGCAATTATTATTATTATTATTATTATTCATTTTTTTATGCTGATAAGCAGCTTTGAAAATATATTTCACTTAACTGAAGCCAGCAGGACTCGGACGACATTAGCTGCCATGTTGGATTTTTGGGCCCAATGTAGGTCTTTAAGCCCCGCCTACTTCCTCTCAAACAATTTTGGTGCTACCCCATTCACTAAACATGAAAAAAAAAAACAGTATTTGCAGGTAAATTTAAGTCTTTGACCATACAGCAGCAAGAGAGGATCTTTGTGAATAAACAAAAATCCTCATCTGAAAAATGATCTGAAGTGTTTTTAATTGGAGGCAAAGTCCTGTTTGTTTGYAAGAAGAGGATAAAACTGGTACTGGACTGACCTCGTCCAGCTTCAWCTTCTAGATTCCTGTCTGGTGTCCAGCTTTAATAACTATCCATGTTTCAGACATCAGAGGTTGTGCAACACCAAGCAAAGGACTTTAAAACGATCATCAGAAATGAAATTRTGAATAAAAATAAATAAATAAAAGCATCCTTCTCCTGAATGAGTTAAACCTTTTGATACATGAATGGCTGGAATAGTACGAAGTGCAGAAAATGTTAGACAGCAAAAAAACATACAAAAAAAATAGTGAGACACTGATTACAACAGAAGTTATAGGAGGATTTACTGTTTTCTAGTTTGCTTTGCTTTCACAGAAACACAAAGGTTTTATACAGAGCAACATTTTGGTTCTTTTTTTTTAACCCAATCAGTTCCTCTGACTGAAGTCCTTCATCAAACAGAGAGAGGGACACACATGTTGGGCCTCACTGGCAGTCATGAGACTCAGTGTTTTCCTAAAAAAAACCAAAACTAAAATATTGTTTGATCTGATCCAACGAAGACGTCATCTGAGTTCATCTGGAAGTTTGCATTTCAATTAAAACACAAGTTGTGCAGTTGTACTGGTCTGAATGACAGCGTTTATCAACCCGAGTCATGACGATAAGTGTGAGAAACCAGGGATGTAATTCTTTAATCACCTGCCTGAACAATTTCTTAATTTTTAAATTTTAATTTATTGATTCATTTCCACAGAAGAGAGAGAGAAAAAAATGAGGGAATGGAGATGGTGGGGGTGGGGGGGATCTAGACCAACAAATTAGCAGAGTGTGGAGTCGGACAGACCCGGGCGAGTTGTGATTTGGCTTGAGTTTCAAGGCAAATGGGTAATTAAGGCTTTTCCCTGGCCGGCCCGCACTTTGAAGTCCCCTACAGGGGGGATTATCTGAGCCAAGAGAAAGACAGTGGAGGAGAAGTAATGAAACCCAGGAAGCGAGGGTGGATGGGGGTGGGG